ATAATCCACATGTCTAACACACTTGGCATGAGGTTAGTGTGGGATACACTCATGCCTGCACAAAGGCCATCATTCTGGACTGCTTTTTCACACACTAATGCACGCATGATAATATATTTGGAATAACAGAAAGTATAGCCAGGGGAGTGGCGGGATCTTCTGGAACATCTTCATTATTCACCAGGACCTAATACCTCCAAGGCCTTTACAGGTCTGAATATAGATCAGCCTGAAACATAGGAGTTGTGCAATAATTTTTTTTTGAATGACTAATGATGACAGTAGAGCCTTTACTTCATAAAAGGGATTCATGTATTTTGGATTCATGTATTTTACTTTAATATACAGGTTGTGCTCTCTATTGAACAAATTCAAACAATCAACTGTTAGAGTTTCTAGTACTTAAAATACATATATATTACACATATTATTACATACATAATATATATTATACAAGATTACCTATATATTATTTATTATATATAAATATATATACTATATCAATTGCCTGACCTGTATTCCATTTCTCACTAATTTTTTTAAAGAACTGTATCTTTCAAGACAATGACAAAAGAAGGTACACATTCCTGGTTGATACCACAGGGTCTAATAAAATCCAAAAAGATTTCAGATTTCTAGTATTGGTATGCCCAGAAATTTTATATTTCTCTCAGCTTTGTAGTCTGTCAGATATAAACAGAACAAAAGAAAAATCTCCAGATCAGGACTGAAATACAACAGAAAGACAGTGCGTGTTGCCCGTGTGAATAAAAGGGGAAATAAGAACGACCTTCTTTCATGTAAATTATGAAAATAAAAAATCAGTTATCATCCATGGGTGATCGAGGGTGAATCTATCCTCCTACATCCATAATTATTAACCCCGCCACATAATGCACTACATGAACCTAACCTACAGTTAGCTAGAAATTTTGCTATTTTGTAGGTTTTTTTCAAACATTCTAAAACCCCAGTTCTATTTCTTGAGATGGTTTTGATGTGCCCTTTAATTAGGGACAGAAAGGTGACCTAAACTTTAGACTCTAAAATACTTACTGAGTTCCCATCCAGTGTATGATTATCTGCCTTTCTGCTCTGTTTTTAAGTAAAACTGATAACTATCGGTTAAATATGATTATGAGAACTTCCCTGAAAGGAAAAAAAATATATTTAAAATGTTTTTAAATCTCTCAATTTAAATTTCTCAAACAAAAAGTTATTCTAGAATTACAGCTGGGATTAAGTTTGGGGATTATTTTCTATTAACTCAGTGAAAATCGTTTCTTCAATATCAATTTGCCCTTTTGGAAATATACTGATGAATACATATCAGTAACAGTCTACTTCTTCAGTTGGATACTTTGGGCTACAAAGAGTAGAAAATCTGACTCGGAGTGCTTGAAACAGAGGCGATTTCTTGTTTATTAACAGAAGGCTGGACAAAGCAGTCCAGAGGTTGCTCCACGATGACACGATTGGGCTTGCTTCCTCAGTCTCGGTTTTTCACACCCAGTTTCATTACAGCCGGTTGGAGGCTGCCAGACACAAGGAATTCCAGCACCAGGGACAGCATTTCCTCCCTCCCCTCTGTCCTTTCGGGATGGACAATCTCCCCTAGAAGCCCCAGAAGTCTTCCCCTTGCATGTCATCGGCCAGAACAGGATTTCGTGTCCCCCCAAACCAATCATGGGGCTGGAAACGGAGATTGTCATGATGGTGTTAGACAGTCACGACTAACCCCCTGGCCCTGGACACACGGTCACTCCAGTAGCCTCAGGATCCTGTGGGCAAGGAAAGGGGAAGGAACCCCACAGTGTCTGCCACACACAACATGTGCTATATACTCTACACCCACTTTTTAAATCCTTGAAAGAACAGTGCAGTGCGTATACTTCTAATTCATAAATGAAGAAATCAAGGCTTCAATAAACCCGATGATTTGACAAAGTCACACTGCTCATAAGCAGGCAAGTCTGAACTGAGGGCTGACTGCCCCAAAGCCTCCATCCAAGCCCTGCAGTCGCTACCACAACCAAACCACCAAGAAAACAATGGGACTAGTTACTGTGGCTTGAAAGCCAGCGACGTTCGGCTCTGGGTGCCAAAATACGACTAGAACTTCAGACTGTTTCGTGGAAAAAAGACGTGCATGTGCATCTTCAAGATATCCTCCAAACACTAATATGTTTGGATTCTTCCAAAGAAAAACTCTCTCTGAAGTTGAGATGACAGGGACCATCAGTTCAGGAGAAGAGAAAATACGACCCCTTCCATACTCTCCACAAACCGGTGCCGTGCGCCTTGAGACCAGAACAGGTCATATGTCAGAGGCGGCATCTTCTTGATGATTTGAGAGCCTCATAATTGTTTATTGACTCAAGCCCAGCTTCACTTCACTTCTGCTTTAGGAGAAACTATTTTTCTATAATTTAGTGGTAAATGATTTTTGAATAATGAGAACTTGAGGGAAGAAAGAGGAAGTTATATGAAGCGAGGCAAATAATTGAAGATGTTCATAATGCAAGTCATTTTTCTCCAGAAATAGCACCTGCTGAGGAAATAAATAACAAAAAACAAGCTGCGTGTGTGTGTGTGTGTGTGTGTTAAGATATTGATGCTTGGGTATCATGTGGCAGAGCAGCTGCTGTTCATAAAATTAGGCAGTAGCAAAATTGAATGTTCTCAACAAGATGATAATTATTTATTCTTACTTGATAGATTCTTCCTAAAATTTCCTATTATTTGCTTCCTGTTCTGTCTGCAATCTTCCATCAAGGAAAAGCACATCACCCTCTTTCTGTGTTGTTAACGTATGTTTTAGAGTAAATGTTTACTTTAGAAATACTTTCAGTCCCAAATGCTAATGAAAATATAATTATATTGGTAAGTGAGGAAAAGTGAAAAGGAAATGACACCGTAGGTCCATATTCCCAGCATTGCTTCGAACTTGCTAATTGTTGTAATTGTGGTAGCTCTTCATGTCACATTCTCTTTTCCCTAAAATGGAACTTGTAAAAACTGTTTCAAGAAAACAGTACTGGTGGCACAAGAGGTTACCAAAGAAAATGTGTTACATTATTTTACTTAAAACAGCCACATCACTGATCTGTCCCAGATGCCTTCACGTCTACTTTTGCTGACAAAACTATAAAAACAGCTCCAACAGGCAGAGATAGGAATATGACAGACTTCAGCTGTCTGTGGGAAATGAGAGAAAAGAACGAAACAAGCTGACATTGCACAAAACATAAATTCCATTTTTCCGTAATTTCTGTTCCATGCTTTTTCTAAGATATGTCAAGAAGATCGTTTTCGTGTTCAATGTAATACCTAAGGAAGTTTGTCAATTCTCCCCAGTATTTTCATTTGTGCCTGTTGGCTTAGAAATGTATTTGTAAGTGCTTTACATAGCACTGGTCATCAATCATAGGTATATATAGAAACAAAAATAACTATCAGTGCTCTCAGCATTTTAAATATCTCTTTGAACATTTACAATGAGCACACAGCTTTATTTGGCCTGTATAAATGCTTTACCTTTTAGGGCTCGACAGGTTACAAAGTACTGCGTGCTATGTTCTATCTCGTTTGTTCTCACATAACCAACCAACCCTTGAAGTGGATAGGTGGGTAATTATTCCTATTCTACAGATGAAGGTGGGTTCCGAGATAAAGAGTGATGTCCCACAAGTGGTGGCGGAGTCTGGAATAAAACATGGGCCTTGGCATCACCATCATAAATGGCATAAGGTTAGAAAAAACTTGGCTGGCAAATGCCTCGATAGAAATGCAAATGAAAAATCTAATTGCTTCTTTCTGGCTTGTTTACATATAGCCCTACAAACTCTGCTCCAGACAAATGCTTTCTTCAGTATGTGCACAACACTGATGTCAAAGTCTTCTTGAAGTTGGTGTTCAGAGAACCTTAGCATTAAAGTAAATCCTTCCTGTTAATGGCACTCTTCTCTCTTGCTGATTTTTCCATTTTTTAAAAAATATCCTAACATCCTTAACAAAAACCTGTTGTCATTTTGTATGTCTAGAGATGCAAAATGGAAGAGTTCTGCAATGACATTAACTTGGCCATATTTGTAGACCTGCAGATCAGAAGTCTATTATACGTTAGCTGGTTTAAATGTAAACCATGCAAATTATTTGTGATGTGAAAACCATGATTTTTGTTTTATATAGGCATTTGTAGCTCTGAGAAAGTGCCTTTTCATTTTAACGTGTACTAGCCCATACAGATCTGTGCAGATGTAGTCATATATATTTTTAATTGGTCAAAAGCTGTCCTGGTTCACAGTGGTTGTTAACATAACATTTTGACTTTGTTTTAAAAACAAACTAGTAGAAAACAGTTTGGCCTCAAAATATTAAGCATAGAGTTACCATATGACCCAACAATTCCACTCCTAGCTATGCACCTATGAAAAGTAAGAATATAGATGCACACAAAGATTTTGCCCTCAATGTTCACCACAGCATTATTCATAATAGCCAACAAGTGCAAACAACCTAAATGGCCATCAACTGATGAATGGCTACACAAATGTGGCATGTCTCCCCCGTGGAATATTATTCAGCAATAAAAAGTGTAAAGTTCTGCTCCATGGAACAACATAGATGAACCCTGAACCATTATCCCAAGTGAAAGAAGCCAGGCACAAAAGACCACATACTGTATTGATCACACTTATAGAATTGGTAAATCCATAGGGACAGAGAGTAGACTAGTGGTTGCCCAAAGCTGGGAGGTGGAGGCAGTTGCTGGTGAGCAGAGAACAAGTACTAATGCAGACAGGTTTTCTTTCTGGAGAACAGACATACCTCAGAGATCCTATGGTTTTGGTTCCAGACTGCTGCAATAAAGCAAATATCACAATATCATGATACAGATGAATTTTTTGGTTTCCCAGTTCATATAAAAGTTATGTTTACACTATATTGTACTCCATTAAGTGTGCAAGAGCATTATATCTAAAAAAAAAGTGAATACATTCATTAAAAAAATACTTTATTGCTAAAAAATGCTAACCATCATCTGAGCTTTCAGCAAGTCATAATCTTTTTGCTGGTGGAGGGTCTTGGCTCGATGTGGATGGCTGCTGAGTGGTCAGGCTGGTGGTTTCTGAAGGTCCAACTGGCCACAGTAGTAATGTCTTAAAAAACGACAATGAAGGGCACCTGGGTGGCTCAGATGGTTAAGCGTCTGCCTTCGGCTCAGGTCATGATACCAGGGTCCTGGGATCGAGTCCCGCATCGGGCTCCCTGCTCCTTGGGAGTCTGCTTCTCCCTCTGCCTCTCTCTCTATGTCTCTCATGAATAAATAAATAAAATCTTTAAAAAAAAAAAAACGACAATGAAGTTCACTGCATCAAATGACTCTTCCTTTCACTCGAACACTCAGAGGCCATTGTAGGGTTATTGACTGGCCTAATTTCAATATTGTTGGGCTCTAAGAATAAGGAGGCCCAAGGAGAAGACAAGAGATAGGGGAACACTGGTCAGTAGAGCAATCAGAACCCATGGAACAGTTAAGTTTGTGGTCTTAAATGGGTGTGGTTCATGGTGTCCCCAAATAAGCACAATAGTCACATCGAAGATCCCTGATCACAGATCACCATAACAAATATAATAATAATGAAAAAGTTTGAAATATTGCTATGAATTACCAAAATGTGACACAAGTCAGGAAGTGGACAAATGAGGTTGGAAAAAATGGTACCAATGGACTTAATCAATGCAGGGATGCCACAAACCTTCCATTTGTTTAAAAAAAAAAAACAAAAAACAAATAAAAAACAAAACAAAACCAAAAACATGGTATCTGCAAAGCTCAATAAAGCTAAGCACAAAAAAAGGAGGCATGCCTTGTATTGAAATGTTCTAAAATGTGGTGATGATTGCACAATATTCAACTGATAAGAACAAATATATTAAAAAACGCAGAACTGTACCCTTTATTTAAATCAGTGAATTTTATGGTATATGAAATATATCTCAATAAAACTGTAAAAACAAAACAGAAACTAGTGTCTTCATTCAGGCTGCGATGACAAACTGTCACGGAGTAGGTGACTTCAACAATGGACAGTTATTTCTCATAGTTCTGGAGGCTGAAAACCCAAGGTCAAAGTGCCGGCAGATCCAGTGTCAGGTGAGAACCCACTTTCTTTTCTGGCTGTGCTTGTGTCCTCACATGGCAGAAGGGGCTAGAAAGCTCTCTGGGATCTCTTTTATGAAGACACTAATCCCATTCGTGAGAGCTCCACCCTCATGACCAACTCAATGCCCAGAACCCCCACCTCCAAATACCATAACATTGAGGGTTACGTTTAAGTGTATGGGTTTGGGGGGACACAAACTTTCAGTCTCTAGCACCTAGTACAGTCATGTCGAGTTTTCTGATTTGCTATTCAAGAATAACTGAGTCAAAAGACCTGGGTTCAGATCCTGGCTCTGTTTAAGCAGTGTGTGTGACCTGGACAATCACTTAATCTCTGCTGTTCTTTTCATGGAAAGTAAGGTTTCACTAGTGACTGCAGATCAACTCTAACTCTACAAACTAGGATTATGTCGATCTTTCTTTTCCTAAAGGCAGACTAAGAAAAATGTTTTGTGGTATAGACAGACCCCCAGGATGGCACCCCTTGTGCTGCTCCAGCTGCCTTTCACTGGGAGTCTCAGCCATGGTGAGAAAGGGTATGCTATCATGGGCAGCTTTCCAGCTAAGAGAAGTCTGAGCCACGTAAATCATACTGCTATAATGGAGCCAAGATGTATGTGCACCAACTGGCTTGCAAGACATTTACAACTTCACTTTTTAAAAATCCACTCTAATGTCTGTCTGACACTTTTTACTATAATGTCATCAGACTTTACAGAATCTGCAGACTTATGGAATTTGAATTGGAAATATTTTGTCCTATTTTACCTTTATGTGTTCCCTAGGCTATGGAATCTGTAGTGTTTTTTGATATTTGCAAGAATATAAAACTCACTGTTGGGGCACCTGGGCGGCTCAGTTAGTTAAGCGGCCGACTCTTGATTTCAGCTCAGGTCATGATCTAGGGGTCTGGAGATCGAGCCCCATGTTGGGCTCTGTGTTCAGGGGGGAGTCTGCTTCTCCCTCTCCTCTGCCCTTCCTCCCACCTCCCTCATGCTGGCTCTCTCTCTGTCTCTCAAATAAGTAAATAGAATATTTTTTTAAAAAGTAAAGGGAAAACACATCCCCTGGCTGTGCAACAATGAGGCTTGTTATAAATTTAGCAGTTCTGGGACACCTGGATGGCTCAGTTGGTTAAGCACCTGCCTTCGGCTCAGGTCATGATCCCAGGGTGCTGGGATGGAGTCCTGTGTCAGGCTCCCTGCTCAGCGGGGAGCCTGCTTCTCCCTCTGCCTGCCACTCTCCCTGCTTGTGCTCGCTCTCTCTCTCTCTCTTCCCCAACAAATAAATAAATAAAATCTTTTAAAAAAAATTAGTTCTTTTAGTTCCCTTTCACCCACTCCATCCCTACTTCTCTCCCCTCCCCCAAAGCAAAAAGTCTGGAAATGAAACACACAGAAAGGGTTTGTTATGTAATTAGCTCCCTAACCACCACCCCACCACAACATACACACACACACACACACACATAATTAAGATGAGAAATAGTACATGTATAGCAATCCAAAAGACATACAGATGTATTAATGACACTAATACTTGTTTTTGTTGTTGGTTTTAGAGAGGGAGAGAGAAAGTGGGGAGGGGCAGAGAGAGAGGGAGAGAGAGAAAGAGACTCTTAAGCAGGCTCCATGCCCAGTGCAGAGCCTGACGAGGGGCTCCATCTCACAACCCTGGGATCATGACCTGAGCTCAAATCAAGAGTCAAATGCTTAACTGACTGAGCCACCCAGGCGCCCCAATGACACTAATATTTGTTGAGGTTCATAACAGACATTTATCCTAATACATAGAAGGCCCCATTCCACAGGTGGAAGAGTTAGATAAGATACTGATATGCATACTTTCTCTAATCCTCTCAAAGGAATCAACTCATTTACTCTTGAGAGACGATAACAGGACTGACTGGGAAAGAACCTGCCTTTCAATGCTCTGAAATCACATCACATGTCTCTCCTTCAATTCTTCATTCTCCAGGTGTCCCTAACGTGAAGCACAAAGCATACACAGGGAGCCCTTGAGGTATTGTCCCATAGTGCACACCTTACCTGAGAGGGTAAAACAGGCTATTAAGGCACAAGTCCCAAGGATGCATCCATTTTGATATATAAAAGATAAAAAAGAAAACAGGGTAACATAGCAATTCCAAGAGCATGGTCTGATTTTCATCCCATCTGCTATGCATGCTCTAACTCATTGCTACAAGAGGTCATATCTTAAAGTGGCAAAGTGATGACTGAGGGTTTTCTATATTTAAAACTTCATTGTCAGGAAGATGCACAAGTGTACCTGCTGTAAATCATGGAACAAGACTGAAATGAATGTGGCACACCCTTTCTGCCACACACAATAAAGATTCCTTTCCTCAAGCTGCAGGAATCATTGTTTGCAAAGCACTTCAAGGCAAGCCAGGGAAGCATGTTTAGAAAACAAAGGACTTTTTAATTGCTGCCGACATGAATGAACTTTCTGAAACAACAGCTGTGTCTTGAGATTACATTACAAGGCATTTGAGCAGGATGCAAAGCATCCTCATAAAAAGACAAAGCCTGAGAAGCCTTTTATTGTTTCAAAAAAATTCCCAAGCCCGGGATGCCTAATTTCAATTCCTGCAGGATGCAGCAATCATATGTTTACAGAACAAAATTGAGAAAAAACCTTTATATTTACTGTGGCTGATAAAAAACAAAATCCTGGTAGACAGTTTGGGTAGAAGGAAACCAGTTGTCAGTTAAAATATTGTCCCAGGAGACTATTTCCTTTCTGTCTTTCTAGTCACAGAATGTCTGCTGCTGGGTATAAATTATGGACAAAAAACTCATTTAGAGAAATATTGACTCAGTCATACTTCATAGGTTTATTACTACCCTGAGAGAAATGAACCTTGTGAAATTAGAACTGCTGAACTACAACCAAGAGTCTTTCAGAGACAAACCTCAAGGGGAATGGAAGAGAAGGTTAGGGTGGGGGCAAGGGAAATCAAGAGTGCTTAAAGAGGAAAGAAAGGGGCCAAGGAGATAGGGATTTAGTGAGCAGACCAATGGATCTGACATCGAGCCAATGATTATAATGCTATTTTTATAATTCCACTCATCAAGCAGCTTTATTTTAGACATTCAAGTCTTCAGGGTAAGTGTTTCCATCAAAACTGCACATACAATGTGGTAAGAGCACATTTTCCCATAACCTTTATTAGATTCTCAGAAGGCTCCAGAAACTAAAAAAATTAAGACCACTATATGAAGGATGAAAGAAAGCTGCAAAACCTTTGATCCTCCTTCCATGGAGAAGTGGATTCTATTGCCCCTCCTCTTGAATCTGAACTGGACTCTGGCAACTTTCACCAATAGGGAGCATCAGGGATGATATGACTCTGGTTCCAGGCTCAGCCTATAGGAGGACAACCAGCTTCTGCAAGGGTGTTCTGGAGCCCCATGCTGCTATCCTGAGACTACTGGTAAATGAGAAACCCAAGCCACATGCAAAAGGTCCTGGAGGATGAGATGCTATGTGGAGAGAGAGAGGTCAAGGAGCACCAAGGCACCAGATGTGTGAATGGAGAAGCCATCTTTGAGCTGGATCTTACAGGTCCCACTGCTCAGAAATGAATCATCCAGCCTGGCCCTTCCAGACCTGATCTCCCAGAGAAGATTTCTCACCTGACCAATATTGTCCAAAGCTTCCTTTGAGCTTTCTGGACCTGGCAGATTTTTACAGTCTACTCTTTCTTTTGTGGGTTCTTCAGAAATTCCTCCACTTCTGCTCTTCCCTTGATGTGGATCCTGAACCTTCCTCTGTTCATGTTTCTGTAACCCCCTACAAATCCAGGAGCCCATCTCTAGCTCCTTCTGCAGGGCTCCCATATCCCCCCAGGCAGATCTAGGACAACTCTAAGCTGCACTTCTCATGAGCATGAAATAGAGATAGACATGAGAGAGAGAGAAATTTTCAAACCCATATTGCAACCCTCTTCTCCCCATAACTAAATTTCTTTTTTACCTGGCTATGATGATTTAGGTATCAAATTAGATAATAATACAGTGCAATTCCATTCCAAAATGTGCACATTTATGCTCATCCAACCCAACTGCCTGCACTCTTTTACTTTCTCACTGCAGAGAAAACATCCTAAAACACTTGAGGATGTTTTTTCTAGAAATAATATTTACTGTTATCAAAGGTTATCAGATAACACTTTTTAAAGATTTATTTATTTATTTATTTGAGAGAGAGAGATGGGGGGGGCAGCGGGAGAGAGAAAATCTCAAGCAGACTCCCTGCTGAGCACAGAGCCTGAAGCAGGGCTCCATCTTAGGACCCTGAGATCATGACCTGAGCAGAAATCAAGAATCAGAGGCTTAACTGACTGAACCATCCAGGCACGCCCTCAAAGGTTACCTGGTAACATTTTATCATCTGTAGTAGGTGGTATTGTGTGGGTCCCAGAGTTGATGTCAATGCAATATCACTCTTCCCAGTTGGCTATAAATGGTTTATCAATCATGGCTGTGTATTTTCAAATCTTTCAATTTAGTGCATCATTTCAATGATACAAAGGTATAATGAAAGACATTTGCCAATCTCACCTTCCCTTACTACCAGTTCTCTAAAGAAAGTCTAGGGGAAAACAAAAAACAAAAAAACCTCTTTTCACTCCTTGATGATAGCACCAAGGAGGACTGATATTAAAAACTGTGCTCTATCTTTCTAATTCAAGTTTTGCTTTTTAAATTGTAGAAATAAAAGTAAAAACTACATTCATTAGCAGTCATTTGGTGTTTCTCTTATTTGTATCAAAGATGGCAATTTATTTTCATCACCTGAAACAGGACACCTGTATTAGCAGTTTGGAATTTCTTGTTTGCCTTTTTCATTTTTCACAGAACTGCTAACCAAACCTGTAATATTCCCCAAAGGAAAGTACTCATTGTTATCTAATTTCTTCTTCAAACTTTGTATTACTCTTCTTCATAAGGAAACTTGTAACTGGAATTTAAATAAAAACTTGGGGAAAAAAATAAACTTGTAAGAAACTTCCTCAAAGTGAAATGACTATCTTTGTCAAAATACTTAGAATTTGAGGATTTTCATATCTCATTCCTTCATCTGATTTGATACTTTCACACTGCTACCCTAATTTAAAAATATAGTGATGAAAGAAAATATTATTTTGATGAAAGAAAATATTATGCCTTGTATATTCAACTCAAAAGGTGCTGATCTTCAAAATCTTTCTTCCAAACTCAAGCAACCAAAATCCTATTTATTTTCTTTTTAGTATAACATGGCAATCGAAGTGTCCAAATATATTGAAGTAGTTTGGTAAAATACAATACCACAACATGATGGAATACACATTTAAATTCTCTGTAGAAATCTGGAAAATGTTGATTTTTTTGTTAAATTAAAAAACAGAATACAAAATAGTATATGCATAATTATTGAAAGTTTAAAGATGGAAGAAAATTTAAGGTAATACACAAAAATAAAAAACAATTGTGCCAAATGATTTTGACAAGGGTACCAAGACAATTCAATGGGGAAAGAATAATCTTTTCCACAAATTATACTGGCACAACTGAATATCCACATGTAAGTGAATGAAAATGGATTCCTACCTCTCATCATACACAAAAATTAACTCAAAATGGATCACAGGTATAAAAGTAAGAGGCAAGTCTATAAAGCTCTTAAAAGAAAGCAGAGGAGTAAGTCTTTGTGACCTTGACTTACACAATGGTTTCTTGGTTTCTTAGGCAAAGCACAAGTGACAAGAGAAAAAAAATAGGCAAACTGGACTTCATCAGAATTTAAAACTTTATAAACAACCTAACCTTACACCTAAAGGATCTAGAAAAAGAAGCAAACAAAACCCAAAGCCAGAAGGAAAGAAATAATAAAGATCAGAGCAGAAATTGACAAAATAGAAATTTAAAAAAATAACAGATCAATGAAACCAGGAGCTGGTTCTTTGAAAACATCAACAAAATTGATAAATCCTTAGCCAGACTTGTCAAAAAAAGAGAGGACTCAAATAAACAAAATCAGAAATGAAAGAGAAGAAATAACAACCGACACCACAGAAAGGATAATAATTATGAAAAATTCCAACAAATTGGACAACCTAGAATAAATGGATAAGTTTCTAGAAAAAAAATTGAATCAGGAAAAATTGAAAATTTGAACGGACCAATTATCAGCAATGAAATGGAATCAGTAATCAAAAACTCCCCCACAAACAAAAGTCCAGGACCAGATAACTTCACAGGTGAATTTTACCAAATATTTAAAGAAGAGTTAATACCTATTCTTCTCAAACTATTCCAAAAAATAGAAGAGGAAGGAACACTTCCAAATTTATTCTATGATAAATTTACCCTGATACCAAAACCAGATAAGAACATTACAAAAAAGAGAACTACAGGCCAATATCTCTGATGAACATAGATGCAAAAATCCCCAACAAAGTATTAGCAAGCCAAATCCAACAGTATATTTAAAAAAAAATTCACCATGATCAAGTGGGATTTATTCCTGGGATGCAAGAGTGGTTTAATATTCACAAATCAACTAATGTGATACATCACATCAAGAGAAAGAATAAAAGCTATATGATCACTTCAATAGATGCAGAAAAAGCATTGGACAAAGTACAACATCCATTCATGACAAAAACCCACAACAAAGTAGGTTTAGAGGGAATATACCTCAACATAATAAAAGCCATATATGAAAAACCCACAGCTAACATCATACTCAATGGTGAAAAACTGAGAGCTTTTCCTCTAAGATAAAGAACAGGACAAGGATATCCACTCTCACCACTATTACTAAACATAGTACTGGAAGTCCTAGCCACAGCAATCAGACAACAAAAAGGAATAAAAGGCATCAAAATTAGTGAGAAAGAAGTAAAAGTTTCACTATTTACAGATGACATAATAACATATAGAGAAAACCCTAAGACTCCACCAAAAAATTACTAGAACTGATCAATGAATTCAGTAAGATCACAGGACACAAATCAACATACAGAAATCCATTGCATTTCTATACATTAATAATGAAGCTACAAGAAAGAGAAATTAAGAAAGCAATCCCATTTACAATTGCCCCCCAAATAATAAAATACCTGGAAATAAACTTAACCAAGGAGGTGAAAGAACTGTACTCTGAAAACTATAAAACACTGATGAAAAAAATTGAAGATGACACAAACAAATGGAAAGATATTCCATGCTCATGGATTGGAAGATCAAATATTTTTAAAATGTCCATATACCCAAAGCAGTCTACAGATTCAAGGCAATCCCTATCAAAATTCCAATAGCATCTTTCACAGAACTAGAACAAATAATCCTAAAATTTGTATGAAACCACAAAAGACCCAAAATAGCCCAAACAATCTTGAAAAAGAAGAACAAAACTGGAAGTATCACAATTCCAGATTTCAATTTATACTACAAAGTTGTAGTAATCAAAACAGTATGGTTCTGGCATAAAAACAGACACATAGATCAATGGAACATGATAGAAAGCCAAGAAATAAACCCATGCTTATATGGTCAATTAATCTTCTACAAAAGAGGCAAGAATATGCAATGGGAAAAAGTCTCTTCTACAAAAGCTGCTGAGAAAACTGGACAGCTATATGCAAAAGAATAAACACAAAAATAAACTC